CCTCCTGAGGGCTGCTTGAAGATTCACTGGATGGAGTCCTTAGCATCTCTATGTATAAGAGGCTCCAGGAGTGCACACACACACACACACACTACTTCTTCTGTGGTGTTACACTTTAAAATAATTTATATTCTTCATTGTTGCAATGTTTCTTTTTTTTTTAAAACAATGGTGTAGTAGGTTGAATATAGTGCAAAGTGTGTTTGCCTGAGCTTGGATATTTGGGGCACACTGAGGCTGGGTCTGCGTGATGCCACAAAGTCAGGCAGGAAGAACTGAGTGGGTCAGTTAAATGCCGTCTTCTTGAATGTGTGATTAAGTTACATCTTTTCCAGCATTGTGTTTTAGGGTGTGTTTGTATAGTCAGTTTTGAGTAGTGCATTGCCTGAGTCCTTCTGCTTGAAGATGTGTTCAACCTTCCAGGTCAGCTCCGGGAAATTCTGGCTCTGTGGCTCTAGCATTCCAGGTGCTGATTCTGTTTCTCCCATCTCCTTCTGACACACATCGATTTCTGCTCTTGGGCCTGGAGTGGCTGGAGTCAGAGGGACTGAAATGATTAGACCCTGGCCCCACCCCCAGGCCCAGCCCCAGCCCCAGCCCCGCCCTGGCCCCAGCCCCAGCCCCAGCCCCAGCTCCAGGAGCACCCATTATTCCTTTATTTCTTGCTACTTTCAGCCTCAGACCTCACCCTTTTCCTCATCTGCCACCTGGCAGCCACTTTGCATGTCATTCCATTGCTAAGGGCTGCAGACATGGACAAAGTAGGAGAGGCAGTTAGTTGCCTTGGTTGACAGACCAACTTCTGGAGACTCAGGTGACAAAATTGGAGGGAAGCTAGGAAGCAGCTTTCTCTGGTGCTCTGCCTCCAGATGCCACTCACCCCCACTGCCACCATCCAGATGAGGACTGAAAAATGGTGGTGAATCAGATTTATCAGTGTCAAGTGTTAATAAGACTCTGGAAAGTTGTCATAAATAATGATGATAAAATAGACATAAGAAAAATTTCCATTTAGGTCGTGTGGAAATTATTGGGGATTGGAAAGATGGCTCAGGGCTTATGAGCATTTGCTGCTCTTGCAGAGGACCAGGGTTTAGTTCCCAGCACCCATCCATATTAGGTGGCTCACAACCACGTGTAACTCACATTCTAGGGGACCTGCTGCCTTCCTCGGGTGTCCATGGGCAACCACCTCATGCACAAATAAAAAAATAAAAATTTAAATTTTTTTTGTGTATGTGTGTGTGTGTGTGTTCCCAAGTGTGTGTGTGTATTTCCATGTGTGTGTGGGTTCCCGTGTGTGGGTTCCCATGTGTATGTGGGGTCCTGTGTGTGTGGGTTCCCATATGTGTATGTATGCTCATACACATGCAGGCATGTACCGGCAAAGCCCAAGGCTGACATCAGGAATCCTCTCAACTTGCTCTTCCATCTTACTCTTTGAGGCAGGATGTCTCAGCCCAAGCCAGAGCTTGCTGATATGGCCCGTTTCCTTAGTCAGCTCCCCCTGGCGTCCTGGTCTCTGCCTTCTGAGGCTGGAATTACAGGAGAGCTGCCACACCTTATTCACATGGGTTCTGGGGATACAACTCTCATCCGCTTGCTTGGTGTGCAAGTGTTTTAACCACCAAGCCGTCTCCCCAGCTTGATTTGAGTCATGTTGAAGAGCGCAGTCTGCCAGCTGCTGTGTGAAGTTCATTCCCATGCTGGACCGTCTCGAACATCTATTTACAGAACTCTTTGTCGCACAAAGGGAAAACTCTGTGCCCATTAAATAGTAACTTGCTGTGTGTCATTCCCTCGGCCTTGACAGCCACCTTTCTACTCTCTGTCCATATGATTTTAACTGCTTATCATATAGTATTACTTTTTTTTATGACTTACTTATTTCACTTAATATATCATGTCCTCAAGGCTCATCCACACTGTAGGGCATGTCAGCATTTCCTTCCCTTTCCAGGCTTAATCCTATTTCCATGTAGCATGCAGCATATTTTGTTTATCCATTGACTGATGGATGGACATGTGAGTTAAGGATTGAAACTTTTATGTGACTACAGCATTTGTGGGAGCCAGTGTGTCAGTGAGATACTTAAAACACCATCTACTTTATAGTAGACAGACATGGGTTCTAGTCAAGGTTCTATTACTTACCAGTATGCACTGAAAAAGTTATTTAAACTTTAAAAAAAGGCACTGTAAAAATCATCAGACTAGGAACTTGACCATCACCCAGAACTCTGGAAGCCAGGGCTCTTCTAGAGAGTTCTTCCTGTCTTCTCTAACTCTGACTGTCCTAAGTTCTGTGTAAGTTACTCCTTTGAGTTTTCTTTTCTTTCTTTTTCTTGGACACAATTCAAGTGTACCTTTAGCTGACTGACTCACGTCTAAGAGGCCCTTCTGTCAAGATCTCAGATGTTACTTCTGCCTTAGAGACTGTGTTGTCAGGGAGTTCATCAGACAAGGTGAAACCTGATTATGTCATCTTGGTGTATCTTTTGAATGTTATATAAATTAAATTCTGTTAAGAACTTTCTTGAACATATTTCCTTGAACATTCTTACTGGATTCTCTCTAGAGTTACGCACATAGAGGTGAGATTGCCAGGGCACAAGATGTATGCATGTCCGACTTCTTTGGACAACATTTTCTTTCTTACTGTATGTATCTCACACTTGATCTTAGCCAAAAGGCCGAGAAGCGATCTTACCGTATGTATCTCAAGCTGCAAACTCAACAGCAATGTGAAAATCCCCGCCACCTCGTGTTCTTGCCAGGATCTGGTGATGTCATTTACACTTTTTTTTTTTGCTAGTATGATGAGTTTTAATAATAAGAACAACATTAAATCCACCAAATTACCTGTTTCTTTTGCGGGATTCATGTACTTTGGCAGTACTGTGTTGATGTCTGAATTCTTTGCCAGTTACAGTCTCTTGTTAAAGGCTTCTGGGTAGCGTGTTCTTGTGATTTACATCCCTTTCATGGAGCTTGGCTTAGAGTTTCAAAAGTATAGTTAGTTTCAAAAGTATCAACTGCAAAGGATGGGCCAGGTCCCAGCATGGTCCAGATCATCTGCTTACCATCTCTGTCACACACAGCACACACTTTCTTCTTGGTCTGCTTTTTCAGTTTCTGGTGCTGCCTGAACTCAGGGACTTGTACATGATAGGTGAGCATGCTGTCTCAGTACAACAAGACCAATACTCTACATTTATTTTTTAGTTTTGGAAGCTACCTGGGGATTGCTTTATCAACCAGCATGGCCGGCCTTGCATTAGCTGTGAAAACTAGAAAACTATGCAGAGAGTGTCTTAAAGAAGTTGAAGTTTTCCCTCTGTGTATGTGGAGTCAGAAGGCTGGAGGTGAGCAGGTCAGAGCTTTACAAGGCACTCAACATCCCCCGCGCCCCCACAGGCTTGCTCTGTCTTTCTGCAGAGCAGTATTAGCATGTGGCTTTTGTTCTTTTCATGGGTCCATCCTAGGCCTTGCTGGGTTTGTTTTCCCACAGTTCTGCCGTCTGGAAGCCCCACAGCAAGGTGTTAGGAGGAGTAATTTCTCCTGAGGTCACTGTTCTTGGGCTAAAGCTCATGGTCTTGTAGTTGGGGAGATGTCTCAGAGGGTAACAGCTTTGCTGTTTAAGCATGGGAATAACAGTTTGGATTCCCAGAATCCATCTAAAAGCCGGTTGGCTGCACGGCCCCCTTGTAATCCCACTGTGGACAGGAGGTACATAGAGTTCTTGGAGCTGGCTGAAAAGCAGGCGAAATGGAACAGGAAGCTGCAGGGTCACTGAGAGACGCTGCCTTTATCTACAACTGACTGAGGAAGAACCCCCAGCATTAACCTGGATCCTCCACAGGCACACGCCTGCACATATGTGCCTGCTGCTGCACGTGCCCCTCCATGCATGTAAACACACATATGCCCAGGCATGCATACTGTACACATACAAAAGTAAATGAACAGAGTTTTAAACATTTAAAAGATGGGTCTTTCCATGCTCATCCCCCTGTGCACACTCACCCCTGCTATCTCTCTGTACAACCTGTTCTCACCTTGTTAGTAGGACACCAGTCACAACGGCACAACCTAATCATCCCATTTCAACCCAGTTAGCTCTTTAGGGGACTTACTGCCACACACATGTGAATTTTATGGGAGCACAACCAGTCTTTGTTGGATGACCAATTTCCAACAGCATGTGGAGGAGAGGTTTGATGCAGGATGCTGAAAACCACAGTTAAAGCAGAGATGAAATAGTCCAATATCTCTACTATTTTAGGTGGTTTCAAGGTTCATTTCTTGAACTATTTTTTTTTTCCCAAAACCAATTTTAAAAAGTCACTCTTCTGAGTGGATGTGTCAAGCTGTAGTGTTGTGGGATGCTGAGAGAAATCTTCCTTGAGCATGTATAGTGTTATTTCCTCTCTTCGCCTTTTCCCTTTCAATCTTTTCTATGGTGGCTTTTGGGGAACAGAAATTCTTAACCATGGCACTGTTTACTTTGTCAGCGTTTCCCTTACGGTTAGGACTTTAGGGGACCTGTTTGTAAAGGACATCCCATAGCCAGTGCTTTCCATGTCCAGATTTCTGTTTCTGTTTAGATTGTTTGGCCCTGCATGTCCTTTTGCATTTTAGAATCAGTTAATCATCATTTACATTTGAAACAGGCTTTATCTGTAAAGAGTTTTCCTGTCGACTAATGGCTTTTTATTACTCTCTTTATTTACCACAAGACCATCTCTAGTTGCCAGAGTAACTGGGAAATACAGAATTTTTAGTTGGACACATTGCTACCTCAAACAAAATCAAGATTTTTTTTCTTAATAATTAAAAGGAGAGAATTAACGCTGAGTCTGAGTTTGGAGAATTCTTCCAAAACTAATAAGGATGATGGCCAGAGAAAGTGATAATCTCTTATTTTATCGAATGAGGAGGGGTCCAGCGGTGTTGCCATGACAACTGGAACCCTGGTGCAACTCAGAGGAGCTGTTGGCCTCTGTTTCTGTCTGGCACAATAGGGAGAGGCTGGTAGGAATGAAGGCCTCAGGAACTTTTCCACTTAGCCTGTGGCCCAGTACATCCCAGGGCCTACTGAAGGTCAACATGGAGGAGAGTTCCTTCCACAACCTAACAGTTTTGTGAACCCCGGTGTCTCAGGTAAGCATCCCATGACACTCCAGCTCAATGTATTCATAGCAAGAGTGGTTTTGTTTTTGTTTTTTTTTTTGGGGGGGGAGGGGGAAAATGGTAAAAATATTTTTTAAAAAATGAGCCTTGGTCCATGCTGTCCCATGTTTCATGCACCATGAAAGTTCTCAAAGCTTCTGACTCTCTTGTTTATATTTTTAGCTGGATGATTTTTAATAATCCTTTGCTAACCTTCCTCCTCCTCCAACTTCACCTTCTCCAGACACTGTTTTAAGTAGTGAACTTGGGAACAGGTATGTTGTATGATTCAGATATACAGACTCACCTGCGCCTTGAGAAAAAGAAGATGTGACATGACCTATTTGCTTCTACAAGGCTTTCATCTATTGCTCTAAACTGCGGCCCAATACAGCAGAAGGTAAGGAGCTGTCTTAGTTAATGTTCTATTGCTGTGAAAAGTCACTGTGACCACAGCAACTCTTGTAAAAGAAAGCTGTTCATTGGGAACTTGCTTACAGTTTCAGAGGTTTAGTCCATTGTCAGCATGGTGGCAGGCAAGCAGACACGGTGCTGGAGAAGGGGCTGAGAGTTCAGCATTTGGGTTGACAGGCAGCAGGCAGAGAGAGAGAGAGAGACACTGGGGCTGGCTTGAGCATTTGAAACCCCAAAGCCCACCCCCAGTGACACAATTCCTGCAACAAAGCCACACCCACTCCAACAAGGCCACACCTCCTAATCCTTCTCAGGTAGTGCTACTCCTGATGCCCAAGCATTCAAATCTATGAGCCTATGGCAGCCATTCTTATTTAAACCACCACAGGAGCCTATGACTAAAGCACTGGCTTTCTCTTCTTAACTGAAAAGGACCAAGAATAAACGTGAGCTGAGCTAATCTGGGTTTCTGACAATCAGATATTAGAATTGGGTTAAACATTCAAGATTTTGTTAGAAAACAATGCTCAAATGACAGACAATGGGTAAGAGCTGTTAGATTGTCATCAAGTTGAAGCAGAATAGGGAACTAGGTTAATTGTAAAGTCTCAGACCATTGTATATCTGAAGGAAGGTTCCGCAAGGTTGCTGGGAAATCTTAGAGCCAAAGTATACAGGAGGGGAGGTTCCTAGAAACAGGCTGTCAATCATACCACCTCACTGCTCGAAGCAGTCTGTGGCTAGTGTGGACCTGGCACAAATGTGTTGGAGGCTGCCAGACTGCCACACAGGAGGCCTTGATCAGCCATACTCCTGCAGCTGGAGAGTTTTCAAGGTGTAGCCTTGTAGCAACCTCCAAGTCTTAGTTAGCTTTTGCTGGAAACTTTTGAGAGTACTGGAATGAAACAGAAAATATCAACTTGGTTGACATGTGTTGACATTACTGAGTCTGGAAAGGGAAAGTGGTATTGCAAACCATAAGATCAGGGGTGGATTGCATTGGGTTTGCACAAAGTCTTTGTTTTGGTTTCTTTCTTTTTCTGCTCTTCAAGACAGGAATTCTCTGTGTAGCCCTGGCTGTCCTAGAACTTGCTCTGTAGACCAGGCTGGCCTCAAACTTTATCTGCCTGCCTCTGCCTGCTGAGTGCTGGGATTAAAGGTGTATGCCACCACCACCCAGTGAGCTACCGCTTTTTTTTTTTTTTAAACCTGAGACAGGGTTTCTCTGTGTAGCGTTGGCTATCCTGGAACTCACTGTGTAGACCAGGCTGGCCTCAAACTCACAGGGATTCACCTGCCTCTGCCTTCTGAGTACTTGGAGTGCTGGGATTAAAGGCGTGCCCCGCCACCGCCTGGTGAGTTACTGTCTTTTTAAGCTGGCACTTTTTTCTTGGGTTTCATGAGGAGTTTTCTTAAAAGTTTAAACAAAATTCCAAATTAGGTTGATTTTCATGCTAAATAACTATGTGCAGTGGCACAGCAGAGCAAATGCAGGTGACAAATCACGAACTGTGGTCACAGAGTCACAGGTGAGCCTGTTTGTGTTCCTGAATAGTAAGCAATCGGGCGTGGGAGATGGCTCTGTTGTAAAGTGATCGCTGAGTAAGCATGAAGACTGGGTTTGAATCATGGAAGTGGACTCTGTGTCTGTAATCTTAGTGCAGAGGAGGGTCTCTGGGGCTGGCTGGCCCTCCAGTCTAGCTAATCAGTGAGCTCCAGGCTGAGTGAGAGACTCTGTCTCAGAAGATAAAGTGGAGACTGACTGAAGAAAACAGCTGCCGTTGACATCTGGTCTGCACCTGTACCTGCACACATGCATGTGCACACACATGTATACACACACATTGAGTAACATAGGCAGGGCATGATGGTGTGAGGCAGAGGCAGGAGAGTCATGAGCTACACACTGAGGCTCCGTCTATAAAACAAGCACTTGCTGCTCTTGCTCCCAATTCAACCCAATGAGCCCAGGCAACCTAGGCATGTCAATAAAGGTGTTGTCCTTCAGAGACTCAGTCTTCTGTTACTCATTTTGTGTTTTTATTTCACACTGTTAGCTCATAGATGGGTCAACACAAAAGAGCACCAAAACTTAGTTCTGCATTTGACCTAGGGCAGAACATGTGACCCAGATGGGCATGTGACATCCACAGCAGCAGACCTACAAACCTGATTTTTTTATTTGTCATCTCCCCAAATCACGTTTATGCTGATAAGGTAACCTAATGGATTTAAAACTGAAATAGAGCAGCTCAATGAAAATGGGCTGGATCTCACCCCACATATTGAGTGCCTCCATTAGAAACAGGGCCACTGGCTAAGGAGCAGGAGAAACAGCCAGAAACTGGTCTTCACCATGTTCAAGAGAGGTCATGACACCTCTCCATTGAAGTCACTATTTCTTTTCTGTCTGAAAGGCTTGCAAAGGCTTTCAAGAGAGCATGGGAGGTCTGTGTTCTCGTTCCTTCTCTGTGATCAGTCTTTTGATGGGTGTGTTTCCTGTCATCTTCCTTAGGGAGGTGGTCTTTAAAGGAGAGGAGCTGGGGGAGGAGGAGGACAAGGAAAGAACCAGTGTCCGTGAGGGTTTTGGAGAACCATCAATCATCCAGCAGCCCTGCAAAGCCCTTCTCCCTTGGGCTCCTGTCTTCAGGCATCCCTGAGTTATTTCTCATCACCCACATCCAGTCACCTCGCTCAGGATCCTCTTTCTTTTCCTGATGTGTGAGCAAGTCAGTTCTCTGGGAGAATTTGCCATTATTTTGTCAATGCTCTGGGTGTCTTCTGCTGTTCGCTTAGTAAGTAAGGGCTCTCATAGGCTGTGAGCCAATGATACATCACACGATGAACCATGATACATCACGGTTACATGTTCCCAAAGGAACTTTTCCAGACCTACGTGCATATGTTCCTGGGACGAAGTTCAGCCATGAGTCCTACCGGGTGGACATCACCACACCCTGCACCATGTGGAAACTGTGCAGGGCTTTTGGTGTACGGCAAAGCCCTAGGAACACCTGCCGTGTGCATGAGAAGTTCCAGGACATTTCACGAGAGGGGTCAACGGTGTGTGGCAGGGGGATTTCAGCTTTCTGTGGTCATTGCCCTCCCTGTAAGGATGTTAGCAAGGGCAGCTGGCTGCAGGCCTTCAGCTGATCCTAACTGCTCTCCTCTTCACAGTGGTCCCCTGTGGATGGAGATGCTGTGTCTGCACCCTTCCGCAGACTCACAGGTGCTGGAGGACTCTTTCTCTCCTACAGTTCTGACACTCGGTAACAGGCAAGTTACTATAACACACCAGGCTGATGTCAAGAGACATGACTGAAATAAGGCCCCATTCTCCCTCTCCCCACGTCTCTCACACACAGATCTGTCAAAAGAGATCTGCTGAAGCCCAGGCAGTGTGTATTGCTCAGCTCCCTGCAAGTGGGCTGGATTCCACGGACAGCAGAAGAGAAGAGCAGGTCCATTTAGCCTATAGACTAGTAGACCCACATTAAAATGGTTCCAAGCTGTCATGTTAAAAAAACAAAACAAAAAAAAATGGATGAATGAGAAATATTTACTTTCTGAAAATGAAACAGCAACTTGAGGAAAAGCAAAGGCATCTGGTTTTATTTATTCATTTAAATTTTTGTTGTGTTTTCTGCACTAGTTATTTTTCTGGTCCTGGGACAGAATCCCCAAGGGAAGCCACTCGTGGAAGGAGAGATTTTTTGGCTTGCAGCCTCGGGGATACAGTGCATCACGGTAGGGGAAGGCATGTGGCTCTGTCCACAGAGGCAGGGATGGGAGCTGGCAACTTCTCACGTCTTGGTGGATCAGGACACAGAGCATAGAACCAGAAGCAGACCTCAGCTGGAACCCCAAACTCCGAGGCTCCCAGGGGCTGTGTTTACTAGCTAAGCACCCAGAAGTGCTATAAGTTTCTAAACTACTCCAACACCAAGTGAGGACTAAATGCTCAAAACACGAGTGTGTGTGTGCGTGTGTGTTATTTCATTTTCAAATTCTAACATTTTCTGAGAATAAAAATGCTAAAACTTGGGTCCTCCATTAGAGATGGACAAACATTCATTTTTGTCTTATTGATGCAACAATGGGTTTCATTAACTGGCTGTAGGTGTCACAGTGCCAATAGCACACCAAACACATTACTTTGAATGGACTAACGCCATCGTAACTCCAGACAGCTTGCCTCGTTACACCTCATTCCGTTATCTCATTCCTACACTGGCCCACCTCTGACTGTACTCCACAGATCTCCTGCTGACCCACATATAGACTGTGCTCTGGGAAGAGTAGCAGTTACATCCCCTGCCCCCCATCCTGTGCCTACTCAGATGTGCACACCCTCTATCTGAGCATCGTGTGATTGGAGTGGAAACAGAGTCTGCTTTCTTCATCTGCTGCTGCAGGGCCCATGTGCATGCCATCAGTAGTGCTCAGGGTGGCTCCCAGTGGAGTGAGAAGGGACAGAGGCAATGAACCCCGATAGCAGTGAACCACTGCTCCTGCTGACTGGTGCAATGCTTTCCAAAGGCAATTGACATGGGTCTTAATAGAAGACATACAGATAAGCTTCTCATTCATTGCAGACCCTAAAGACTGGTACATAGGGAATTATTTTCAATGGAAACAAAACATGAAACTGATCCATTGACACGCTGCCCCCCCCCCCAAGGCTTGGGGATGTAAACTCTGTCCTTTGGCAGGGAATGTATTTATTCCAATGTCAACCTCAGTGTTTGAAAGTTACTGATATTTCAGCAGAGTACACCTAAAGGGTCATCAATGGCATTTGGTTACAGCACAACACATGTTGAATAGTATTTAAAATCTACCTTTCGAGTTAGAGTCCAGTTAGTTTAATCAAACACCTGCACTATTCAATGAAGTTAGAGGCTGGGCAAATTTACTATAGCGCACAGCCTAGAAAAGGCTCAGTAGATATTTTCTCTGTTTTAAAGATCAGCCCAAAGTCTGCTGGATTTGGTCACACTAGTTTATCCAGTAGAGCTGGCCTAAGTTTCTTGGTATTTTAACAATACTCAAAGACAATAGCTTGGTGACCTGCCATAGATACTTACATTTGTTATACACTAAAGCTTGCCTCTCCATAAAGGATGTGAGTACCTGTAGTAAGTGTACCCCATATCACTGTGACTAGACTTGCCTCCTATAACTGGCCCATGTCACGATAAACACTTGGCTCCTTGGTCACCGTCTTTTTGATCCCTGGACCTGTGGTCCCAGCATAGTGCATGGGACCATGCACTATGGGACCCAGCATGCTGTTTTCTGTCTATTATTGGGAGTGAGTTTGGGAGCTGTGAATAGAACAGCTCTGATGAAGTCTCCAGTGGCAACTGGAAGTAATTCATGACAAGGTAGCAGTTGGCCTTTCTCTTCCACTTCCTGGCCCTAAAGCATTATAAATCCCCGCCTAACCCCAGGCTAGTCCCCACAGTGAAAACTCTAGTTCATATTTTATTTGCCTCTGTTCCTAAATGGCCTTAATTCTCAGTGGCTTACAAATTTTGAGCTTTGACCCACTAGTGGTTTCTAAATTTAATCACTGTGTCAAATAAGCATAAAGAAAGAGACCCCATGGAACAGAATGAAAAACCGCCACATCAAGTCCTGATCAGGAGGAAAAACTGATCTGGGAAATGCTCTTGTTTCTGTTGAATGCATACAAGAGAGCATGGACTGCAATGAAATGGATTCTTCTCATGGACCTTGATGAGAAGCATTTGAGATAAGCCAACAGGAAAGTTGTTTGAGGTGGAATTCAGGTGCTTTTAAGAAAGGCTCAGAAAGGGGCAGAATATGGCCGGTGTAAAGCTCCCGGATACCTTTCCCTCAGTCAGCCTTCCACTGTGCCCAGTCATCAAGGCCACACCATTAAGTGTTGCTCCGTTTCCATTGTTATGTAGAGGGCCATCCCAAAATCGATATTGTACACAATGAAAAACACTTTCTAGTTCGCAAGGTGCTTTGATTCCTGCTATCCTACTTGATTATGGTTTGATACGAGGTGCTGAGTGCATCCTAGAAGAGGAGCCTGACTCCTCTAGCACTTGAATGTGCCTGGCCTGTTTTAGTTCAGTGTTAATGTGACCACTGCCTACAAGGGATACATTTATCTGAAGTTATTTCCTGTGTATTATTAATTTTTGAACCTGGTGGCTGTTCCTTGGCTTATGTGTGGTATGGTAGTCTTCTAACATCTCCAGAAGCCTGGACTTAATATTAGAGGAGGTAAGATTTGCAAGTATCAGTGTCCTCAGGAATTATGGTACCAGGGGAAAAAGGTGGCGCCTTGCTGTAGAGCAGCTTAGTAGAAGAAGGCTGGCATTGCTAGCTAGCTCTCACCCTTTTCACCAAGAAATACAGGCTTGAGCAGGCTGATGATAAAAAGACTGCTTTTCTTTTCTTTTCTTTCATCTACCACAGAAACAAGCTTCACTGATAAGGACTGAGAGATGCAGTGATTTATGGCTACAGCAGTAAGTCATCAAGAGTCAGTTTAATACCACGGTCAGTTAGCAAAGTAAAAGTAGTGGGTTCTCCCCTAGAACTTTTGTCTTGTCCAGTCACGAGTTCTTGGCTAGACGATGGATCCAGGTATAGGTTTCACCTTGTGGAGTGGATCTTAAATCAGAAGATGGCTGGTCACTCCCATGACATTTGTGCCAGTACGGCACTAGTAGACATGTCTTAGGCCAGTCATTATTGTTGCTTGCAGAGTCCACAGATAGGTAATGCACATGATTACCTTTCTTCTTCTTCAATAGCGGGAGCAGCACCTTTTGGCACCATGAAAGCTAGCAGGTAGGGATGAAGCTTCCATACCACAATGACTTTGTGTCTCCATGTTCCAAGACTCGGATATGAGGTGCCATCAACAGTAGAGTCTTACCATCAAGTCCTGGAGGAGAAGCAAGAGCAATGTCATCGGACTGTAGTATTTGGGGGCGGGGGTTATGGGACCCCATGGGACTATTTATTTGTTAGCCTGTGGTTTCTAGTAGGAGCATTATCTCCCTGTTATATGGTAACTCCATTTTAACTCTCTCTGGTTTGTGTGTGTGTGTGTGTGTGTGTGTGTGTGTGTGTGTGTGTGTGTGTCTGTCTGTCTGTCTGTCTGTCTCTCTTTACCTGTCTGTCTCTGTCTCTGTCTCTCCCAGCTTCTACAGTAGTAGGTAGATTTCCTTATGACTTTTTCTAAAGGTCTCTAGTCCCTCCATGTATTCCCTCTTCTACCCTGACTTCCTGTCTCCTCCCCCCAAATGGTTCCTGTCCCATCACTTCCTTTTAAACCTTTATACCACTGCATTATATTCTCTCTGAGACACCCCAAAACATGCCCCTTACTAAATTCCTTGACTCTGTGGGTACTCCAAATGCAACACACACAGTCCAACCTTTGTTTTTTGACCTTAGCCATTCTGACTGAGGTAAGGCGAAATCTCAAAGCAGTTTTAGTTTGCCTTTCTCTGATGGTTAAGGAGGTTGAACACTGAAAAAATATTTCTCAGCCATTTGTTTTTTCATCTTTTGAGAACTCTCTGTTTATTTCCATGCCCCATTTTAAAAAATTGGGTTGTTTGCCTGATATTTAGTTTTTCCAGCTCATTTTGTATTATAAGCATGAATCTTCTGTCTGATATATAGATCGTAAACATTTCCCCGTTCTGTAGATTTCTTCCTCAGTTGAATGATGATGTTCTTTGCTGTACAGAAACATTTTCATTTTAATGAGTTTCCATTTACTAATTGTTGGTCATAAAGCATAAGCTATTGGAGTCCTGTCTTAGTTAGAGTTTCTAGTGCTGTGAAGAGACACCATGACTATGGCAACTCTTATAAAGAAAATATTTAATTGGGGTGGCTTGCTTACAGTTTCAGTCCATTATTATGGCAGAGAGCATGGCAGCATGCAGGCAGATGTGGTGCTAGAGGAATAGCTGAGAGTCTTACATCTTGCAGGCAACAAGAAGTCGACTGAAAGTCACACTGAGGGAAGCTTGAACAAAAGAGACCTCAAAGCCCGCCCCCACAGTGACACACTTCCTCCAACAAGGCCACACCTCCTAATAGTGCCACTCCCTTTGGGGGTGGTTTTCTTTCAAATCACCACAAGTCCTCTTCAGAAAGTCCTTTCCTGTGCTGGAGTTCAATTATATTCCTTAGTTTCTCCTCTATCAGATTCAAGGGATCAAGCCTTATATTGAGTTCCTTGGTCTATTTGTAGTCAACATTTGTGCAGGGTG